AAAACCTACTACTTAATTAGCATGTATTTCTCACATTGATTTTCGGTGGTCTTATATATTCAAATATATCTTATAGAAAACCTGCATAAAATATGCTTTCTTTTACTCCTTTGGTGGGAAATGACATTTCCTTTACATGTTATACCCTACGAAAGGTTATCTTTCGGTTTTAAAAAAGGCTCTTATTATGAGATTCTTAAAATCGTGCGATCTCCATTCCCACAGCATCGTACATGTCCGTTTATCAATGCTCCTCATGAAATGTACGACATAGTCTGCATCCATTGCAAGATTTTATGAACTCGATATGTTGTCTTTTTAAAGGCATAGAGGAATATATGATTTTCCTCCAGCGAAAAGTATGCACTCTCTTGACTGAAATATTTAAACGCTACTGAACCCTCTGATCTGACTCAAAATTATTCAGAAATTGGGAAACTTTTACAAATCCAAAAAATGTACTTTTTTCGGGTATAAAATGTGAAGACCATGCGATTTCCTACCACCTGAGTAGAAGCAAGCGTATTTTTGTGCATGTTTTCTACAAAAGATATTTGAATATATAAGGCCATAGAAAATAAATGTGAAAAATGCATGCTACTTAAGTATTCAATTTTTGCCGATTAGGGAGGATTTCTCAGGCGCGGTTGTAATGCTGATTATCTTGCGGCATAATCCTATAATATGTCAGACTCGCCAGGATGTCGGCTTTGGAATTCACTGCTCTTCAATCTCCTGTAGAGACTGTTCTCGATATTTTTCCCGTTGATTTTCGATGGTCTTGCAAATTCAAATATATTTTATAGAAACCCCAAATAAATGTGCTTTTTTACAGTCGTTCGATAGAGAATCACGTCATCTTTATATTTTATACTCGAAGAAGGAGTATAATTAGGTTTTAAGAAAGTTTCTATTTATGCGATATTTTAAGACCGCGCAAGGTCCATCCATATAGCATCGTACCTGTCCGTTTACCACTGTTCCTTGTTAAATGTAGAACATAGTTCGCATCTATTGCAAAACTTTATAGACTCTATATGATAGCTTTTTAATGGATAGAAGAATACACGATCTTTTTTACGCGGAACGCATGCACCTTGTAGACTGAAATCCCTAAGCGCTAATGCAACGACTGATCAGGCTCCAAATTGTTTGGGAATTAGAAAACTTTTTTAAAACCTAATTATACTCCTTCTTCGAGTATAAAATATAAAGATGACGTGAGTCCCTGTCGAACGAATGAAAGGAAGCATATTTTTGTTTGGGGTTTCTATAAAATATGTTTGAATTTGCAAGACTATCGACAATCAATGGGAAAAATAATTCCACTTAAGTAGTCATTTTTCACCGAGTAACTTTTCTACAGGAGATTGAAAAGCAGTGCATTCAAAAGGTGACATTCTGCCGAGTCCGAAATATTATAGGATTATGCCGCAAGATAATCAGTATTAAAAATTTGAAGCATTTTGTCCCCGGTACGAAGCTGAAGTAGGCAAGAACGGCAGGATGTATTGGCACCAACTTTGCCCAAAACCCTAACCTTGCTGTTTCTGCATCGATTTTCTGCATGAATTCAAATCTGTTGTATTGTTCTCACTCGTTATCCCTCTTATGAAGCGACAGGAAGCAGCTGAAGAGCAGTCGCGAAATTTTTTGGTGCCAATAAATCCTGCCGTTCTTGCCTAAATCAGTATTAAATCTGCGCCTGAGTTATCCTTCCTAGTCGAAAACGCATTTAAGAATTTCAGCCAACATTTCATGAGATCGATCACACACTGTAGCTGTGTCCTTTGTCTATTCCAAAGGGTCGAAACACACTGCAGCACGCCAGAAGATAAAAGAGCCGAACGATTGTACCTTCAGAGCCGATTTGCAGCCAGTGGTTATCCCAGACATTTTATTGAGAGAATCAGACGCCGAGAGCAAAGACGACGGCAAAGTGAGCAGCAACCTGAAGTCTGGAGGGCCATTACGCAAGTTAAAGGGATCTCCGAGGCGGCGTCTTGACGGATACAACCCGCCAGAGTAGGCATAGCCCATCGACAGCAGGCAGCATTTTGAAACCGTCTGATGCAACCTAAGGACCCATTGCCACCCGCTGAAACCTCAGCAGTCATCTACAAAATAAATTACAATGAGGGCAACTGCAACTGTATGGGAGAAACCGGGCGGAAATTGCAGAGTCGTCTACAAGAGCATAAATCAGTCACTCGGAGGGTGGACCCTAACTCTCAACTAACAGCACACTTTGGAGACACTGGGCATAATTCCGATCTCCAGAGAACTACCATCTTGGGCCGGGACAACACAAAAGCAGAACGGCTAACTCTCGAGGCGTGGTACTCCGATGCCCACGCCATCAACAGGCATCTGGACCTTCCCGCAGCTCACAAAGTTCGACGTCATCACAATCATAGAGCTCAGGACCAAACAACCACAACAGACTTAAGAAGACCATGCAGAGACAGCCCGACAACGAGTTTACTCGGTGCGGAAAAACAAGAACCGCCAGACCGACAACCCGACAAAGGTTCTATCACCTCCCCCGACGAGGTGGTGACTCACTAAGCACGCAGACAAAAAGCACGAGGCCGACCAACACGACATACCACTTGGGATTTCAGGTCGATTAAGTGCACTTTACGCTTTGGCAATGGAGAGCCGACCAAGCTCTCCGAAACGTCAACATCTAAATAAACCCGTTCCGATGAGCCCATCTTTTTCTTCAAATTTGCCTAGATTTTCTATAAGGCAGGAAAAACTGCAAAGTCAGTCATGACATTACATCGACAACAACAGTACTGTTAGATGTGGAGGCCGGCCATCCTACCGATTATAGAGCCGGACTCTTAGTTAATCATTTTAGAGAGCTGACTGGCGAAATCGCAGTAGTTAACAGAATGGTGGTAACTGTAATCACAGCAGTGATATTAGTAGCGGCAGCAGTAGTAATATAAGCAACAAAGCAAAACTTACTGGGGCCCATGTATATACGGAGTAACCACTGGCTGACGTCCATTCATCTGCTCTGACTGCAGAGCGAAATACGTCGTGGAGTGGTTTTAGTGGCAATGACGCCTGCTGGGAATACTGGATACCGTCTGCGAAGAATGGTTTACGATCTTATGTGGAAGGAAGGACAAAAACCACCATGGTCGCTTCTTGAAGGACTCAAATGCCCATCTGTACCTCAAATTCGGCAGGGCACTTCGACGCGCCTCGAAAGTGAACAGATGTTCAACGCAATAGCACATTCACCTAGTCGTCGCCCCACCCTCATCTCCCTCCTGGGCGAACCCATAAGGTCGTGCTTCAGGCATCCTTGCGTTTCCCTCTCCCTCCTTTCAGTCTCCAAGGGGGAGAAAGGGGGTGTGCAATGGTTGTGACGGACGTGGAGCAAGCGGCGTATGATCCCTCATGTCTGCCACGTCGCTCACCCCTCCACCGATGGAGCCTGCCTGCATGAAAAGCATCTGCCGTGATTGCTCTCCCATCCGCGGGCTCAGCAACGTAGGCGTTAATTTAATTAACCAAAGCGTTGTCTTCAGGGTTCGAATATTTCGCCCACGACTTCTGACATCAACTTTGCTATTACAGTGGTCACTGCTACTGTCATTCCGCCGATTAGTGTGTTTTAATGCGTCGCAGATAGAACCACAGATAACGCCATCATCCTTCTCGTCGCTTCTAACTAAATCATGGCAGTCAGCAGTATGAAAACAGACGGTACAAAAACATGCCACACACTTGTTCATAACCGCGAGAAGGTCGTCAGCCGATCAGGTTACAGAACATGCTCGCCCCCTTGCGCCTCGCGGCTCAAGGGTCCTTGCCAGTATCCACTGGACTATATGCATATATATATATATATATATATATATATCACGAATGATAGGGAATACGCGCGGCCCAGGTAATTGAATAGAAGAAGACGGGAAGGTTTATACTGTCCTCTAAATATAGGTATTAACTTGGCTGGCACTCCGGCCGTTGTGTTACCCGACTTTTAGAACGAACAATGACGATAAAAGTCATGTCCCAATAATGTTTGCATTTTTAAGGAAAGAGTAAACCAGCATTTTACATCTTTGCATGCATAAAACCGTTCGACATTGTCTGAACATAAGCTGACGCTTCGGCTAAAGCAGTTTTTGTTTGTGAGAGACCCGTCCAAACCCCCTGAAACTCAAAATTTTCCTATGGCACACCTCTTAGTGCAACATAATTGTCTAACCCGGGAGCCTACAAAAAGACACAGTTCGTTTAGGTTCTAACATACATTTGCGCTCCCTGTTAAGAAATGGTTGTATGCAATAAAAGCAACTCAATGTACTTCGGGTTTAAACATTGGTTTACTGGATGATGATAAAAGGGCTCGTGTCTAATCAACCGAATCAACTCCTGCTTTTTAACCGGCGGTATCACTTCTACAGCCTGCCTGTGAAAAATCCAACGACCCCTGCCTTTACTGACCTTCTGAGTCGTTCGACTTTTAAGCCGCACTCTCGAAAGGCATTCGAATCCACACTGTCCCTGCCAGTGATGTCTTTTCGATGCGATAACTGATAGGAAACGGATTCGTTGCCTAAGCTGATAGGATCAGACGTATCCTCCTCGGTCTTATCCCATGCCAGTTAGTCTGTCATTTGGACATGCAGTCACGCCCTCCTGTTCACTGAACTGTTTAATCAAATTAGGTTCATTCTCTACCCCCGCCCCCCCCCCCACATCGCCCTAACCTCTTGCACCTGACCGCATCGCAGACGAAAAAGGGGAGGATGTGAGTTCTACCCATGAGATTACCTTGCCAGCCAACTATTCATTTCACCTCCCTTTCTGTTAACCTCCCACCCTCCCCCCCCCCTGCCGCCGTCCTAAAGTGAGTGCTGTCGGTTATCTGCTTCCTTTAACTCTCACTTTGTACCATCCCTTTGTTGGTGAAGGTTTCCGCACTCAAGTCTTCCTACGAAAACCTGATTCTTGGAGGTCCATTCTATAGACTAGCAAAATCCATCTAAGTAGCAGGACGGGGGATGTAGAAGAAGAAGAAGAAGAAGAAGGAGGAGGAGGAGGAGGAGGAGGAGGAGGAAGAGGAGGAGATGTTGTTGTTGTTGTTGTTGTTGATGATGATGATGATGATGATGGTGGTGGTAGTAGTAGTAGTAGTAGTAGTAGTAGTAGTAGTAGTAGTAGAAGAAGAAGAAGAAGAAGAAGAAGACGAAGAAGAAGAAGAAGAAGAAGAAGAAAAGCAATTGCGTCGAGAGTCTCTGGATGAATGAACTGCCGAGCTGCAGGGCCACAGTTACCTTCTCTACTACGACGCCAGCATTTCGAATGCCCCGTCTAGCTCACCATGTATAATCACGAGGGAATGAACTGGTGTCGGCCCTCCTAGGTGATCGAACTCCATGTAGCCTCATATGGAATAGTTGGACATGCCGCACCTGCATGTTCAGTTGAAAGTAGCCAGTGAAAAGGAAAGAACGATCCCTACTTTCCCGAGGTTCCCAGCCGAAATAATTCTGGCGATTACTGCTCGCTGACACGACGTCATTGAACACATCCAGACTTTAAGACTGTTCTGACGAATGAGGCTTAATTTCAGTTATTTTTAACTGGAGAACCTTCTTGAGGTCTAGCCTACAGGCTAACAGAATGCATTGAAGTAGGAGAGCGAGGAGGTATTAGTAGTAGTAGTAGTAGTAGTAGTAGTAGTAGTAGTAGTAGTAGTAGTAGTAGTAGTAGTAGTAGTAGTAGTAGTAGTAGTAGTAGTAGTAAGAACAAGAATAAGAGGAAGAAAGAAGAAGAAGAAGAAGAAGAAGAAGAAGAAGAAGAAGAAGAAGAAGAAGAAGAAGCGATCGCATCAGTTGTCTTTAGATGAACGAACTGCAGAACTAAAGAATTACAGTTACCTTCCCGACTACGACGCGAACATTTCGAATGACCAGTCTACTTCACCATGTCTAATCACGAAGGAACGAACTGGTGTCTGTCTTCCAAGGTAGTAGAACTCCACATAGCTCCACATAAAACGATTGGATATTCCGCACCTGAACTTGTGCATAGCCGGCTGAAAACGGTCTGTAAAAAGGAAAGAACGATCTCTACTTTTTCCACGGTCTACAGCTAAAATGGTTCAGGTGATTATTACTCATTGATATGATGTCATCGAATAGATTCTTACCCAGACTTTAAGACTGTTATAACGAATGAGAGCTAATTTCAGTTATTTTTTAGCAAGAAACCCATTGTCTGCTTCTAGACATGCTTGATAGAGTAGCGAATCGGCGCAAAAGTTATATCCAGATCATCCCAGTTGTCGACCATGAGATGTGATCAAGTCAGCCGTGTTAATCCGGAACCATGAGCCTGCCCAGAGTTTACCTGACTAAACAAACAAGAAACAGACCGAGATTCACCTTTAAAGATGTTTCTTTACTGTGTTATAAGTAATTTCCTAGTTCACTCGGCGGACCAACCCCTAACACATCCTGACACCCCTCGCCAGAAAACGTCGATACTTAATCTGTAAGTTACAAGCATCTTTGAAGGGTAAACTTCTTATCCACTCATTGGAGCCAAGAAGAGTCGGACTTGGGGGAGCATTGTCAAAACTGACAGAGAACTTGAGGTTTCGTCTCCGGCTCGTTTACCGTCATCAGTCGACAACAGCCGACCTCATATGGGGGGACCAAAATCTGAATTTGGATTCATTACGTCAGCAAAAAAGGAAAGGTCAATGAACGCTACTGACTGCACGTGCAAGTCGAGATTCAAGCGATGGGACCAGCTGGTCACCTGAGCCCGAATTCAAGTCTCAGGGCCTCCGGCCTGCAATTCGGGTTTGACTGCCTTCTCGGCGGCAAAAAAATTGCAAGTGCTCATTTCAATGTTCCTGCCATTTGTCTATAACCCGCACAGTTTTGTAATTGACCGTCAGTGTGTGATCCAGCGCGTAAGACCATGAAATCCGGATAGCTCCGTGAACGCCACTCCGATTTTAATCGAGTTTTGACAGAGACATTGGTGTTTGTGAACTAAAACAAGTTATACATGCGTTCCACTTCAATGATCTCTTCCGCCTGCGCTCGTCCCTGCCCGAAGTAGAAGTGACCTTCACGTCAGCTGGGATTCCCTTGAATAATATTCGTCTATCTCGCCTTCAACTCACATCCAGTCATATCAACGATTCTGAAGTCGACGGTGAGAGCACTCTGATTTAGTTTCAAGTGGGAAAGCTGAAGGCCGCACTGCAGTTCTTCTCGTAGTCCGCGGCGAAGGCCGTGTCAGTGAACCAGACAAAAAGAAATCCATCACTGTTTCAAGAAACGCCATTACAGTATTTACGGCAGTCGTTGCGCGCACTCTGACGCCCCAGACAAGGCGAGGACTCCTGCCAGAGATTCTGCATGAAATTCAAAAAGACCCTCACGCGTCTGAATCCTTTTTCAGCGCTACTATCATGTTAGATTGCCGTTACGCAAGTTTTCTCATGCCTCCCTCTCTCTCTCGCTCCGTGTTCCTTCTGGCATTCAGCCAAGATCCTTCACACTGTGAACGATGGTAAAATATGAGGTATAAAGGACACATTTGGCTCCCTCTCGAGAAATCAGAACATCTCGTTAGATGACATTACGATTCACATCCCAGACAGCAATATCTCCTTGAGTACCTTCGGTGGTACGTAAGGACTTTTGCAGCCCCTCCCAATCCACTCACCTTCTTCTTATCCTTGATTTTTTCGGACAAATGCTTTGATTTGTGTGCCAACGCTGACATTAAATACAGTTCTGTGCAATGATTTACCGTAATAACAACACAGGTATTAGCTAAATGCCCAGACACGTGTGTTTCGCCGATCTTATGCCGCTGCCTGACGCAGCTGCGAGAGGTTCGACCCGTCAGTGGGTCCCCCAGCTTTCCCCGTGTGTTTTCTGGTATATGAACTCCAGTTTTAACTTGTCCTGTTTAATTTCCGAGGAAATTAATGCGCGAACTTGAAGTAAATTTTTCGAAACGGGCCTAATCAGGTACGCTCCAAATTTTGATATGAATATTTGATCTGAAATCCATCAGCTACTGCGGAATAACCGCTTAATCTTCACAAACCGCCGACAGGCAGCCAGTAGTATAGATATGTGCAATGATTTACCGTACTAGAAACACAGGTATTAGCTAAAAGCCCAGACACCCGTGTTTCGTCGATCTTATGTCGCTGCCTGACGCAGCTGCAGTCTTCCGGTTTTCAGTGAGCATGGAGCTTCTCAGAACTCCCTGACGCCTGGATTGTCGACACCACTACAGGTACGGAGCCGCGGGCGAGTTTTCGCCCCTTCTTATCTGAATGGGCTAAACTGACCACTAACACGATGAAGCGCAATCGACCCTCAAACTCACCGAATCTAAACGGTCGCTGCCTTGCGTCCTTGGCTCGGATCATGTACCACAATAAATGGCGCATTTGACGTAAATTAGTCAAGTCTTTCTCGGGTTGGAACTTGTTTCCCATCATGCGGATGGACTTCAGCGAATCCTGAGGAAAAATGACACTAGGAATAGAACAGGACCGTGGCTCAATAGCAGAGCGTTCGCTACAATGAACAAAGACCCTGGGTTCGAACACCAAGTGCTTCAAAAGGTGAGACTTTGTGCGCCCGTCTGATGATGTCTTATAGACTAGAAACGGTCATTTCAGTCTACCTCGCCTAAATCAGTACCCTAAACAAAATCTTATTGATTCTAGGACTGATTAGACAGTAATCAGGCTAATAAGTCGTGCAAATCTCATGTGACCGTCTGCAAACACATTGGTTCTATGGCCTCTTTAGGGTAGCAACTCAGGGCGTCGGCGAGAAACCCAGCGTCCTCAACCAAATGCTTTCACATCGATCAACAGATATCATTGGACTCGACTTGATAAATATTTACAAATAAACGGCAAGCATACCTGTCTGTCTTGAAATCGTCAGCAGAGACCCTCGAAATAACTGTCAGTTGTTCCATGCAAGCCTGCGATAAAAATAACTCGTGAAGCTACTGAATAGTCTCCTCGAACATGACCTCTCCAAGGACGGGGTTGAGCTGGCTGAGCACATACACATTCAATGTGAAGCAGGAATTACTCCATCCTTTTCGGTTGGTACTATCTCCCATATGGGCGGGAATTTGAGCGCAAAGTTAATTCAGGTGATGAGGACTTGTGATGCATCAATCTCTCGCCGGCACATCGTCCCGGTTATGTGTCAGTGGCATGCAGAGGTCTTGAATGTCGCAGGGGAGATTTGGAAATAACGGCTAAACAGGCATCTTGTCCGGTCTGTAGTCAACCACAAGACGTGTTGATTTCGTTAGTCTACCGAGTCAAAATGAAGACTACCGGAGTCGTATTTATTAACAAGTGTACTGACTTCCCGCTTCCATATTCGGGTCTGAGGCTTCGCCTGTACGGAGTACCTAGCCACACGGGGAGCGCACAGGTGAACACTTTTCCCAACACCAGGGTCAGTGCGTCAGATGGTCGAGCAATCATCACGCAAACATCCAACTCTCGTGATGAAATTGCAGCCATTAACGGCACGAATGTCGGACATCGAACAATCATCACACCAAGTGCAACAATTCCCATTGAAGGGGGTGAACAGTGAATTTACATAGGTGTGCGGTCGTATGGCGACTGCCTCCTATAAGAACTGCAGTCCCTTGTACATTAAGCACCTGTATCTGCTATTGTCACTGATTATGAGTTCAGCCAGAAATCCGAAACGTCAGGCGAATAAAACCTGAGCAGTAGCAGCCTGATGCACAGTCTACAATGATAAAAACATCATGTTCATTGGCAATTGTGCAGACAGTGATTTCCACAAATCACTGGAACACCGGAACACCCAGTACAGATCGATCAGGCTAGATTTGCCGAGAGCCGTAAGTATAATCGTCGCCGTCTCCTAGGTTGAGGTGCACCTGTCGAAAAAGACAATGGCGACCGCAGCATAGAGTTATCGAAACCACGGCTCACATATTGGTGGTCCTGGGACTTTGGATTATGTCAGGGTACCGATGCTAGGTACTCCTACATACACAACCGAGATGTAGCATTATCACTGAATACTAAGTGGAAGCTGGTTCAATAATACATTCTGACCAATATTCAGTCTATCCATGACCTAATGACACTGGACAATATCACGAAACCGTTAATCCCCAAGACAATTACGTTGATCTGCTTGCAGTTGCGCACATCCAACAAATTAAGAGGACTTGACTAGACAGCACGATGGAGATTTTGTAGAAAAATCATAGAGTTCCACAGGGGCACTTGGACGAACACTGCTGGCGTGTTTTGAGAAGTGACAAATACCACTTTGTGGCAATCCTGTGCGATACTAAAGAAGTATTTGCTTCTTAAATGTTGTTATTTAATGCGAGGTTAATTTTTTCAATGTTAACAACATATTTTTAACCTGATTTTGATTTTTGATCGGTATCGATTAGTGCACGAGACGTGCTACGGCAGAAAACCGGTGGTAGGAATCACGCTATAGTAGCACCGATTATCCGCTCAGTCACTACTTTTGATCACATATTCCGTTGTTCCGACTAAGTCTTGATTATGGGATATGATCCCGTTCCAGTATTCTGATCATACTCCAATTCAAATACAGGGTTCAGATGTGGTTATGTAGCTCCACCTGAAGTAAACAAACCCCAGCCATCTGTAATACAGGACCGGCGGTAATAGGGGTTTTTACAGGTGCGGTCGGGGGACGCACAGGCGACGAGGCCAAGTAGTTGTATGCAAAAGAAAAGCCATTGGGAATGCGCGGTTGTATTTTGAGTGGTTGAGAAATAGTTGTCCTCACCCTAATCCTGCCACCTAACTCTAACCCCTAACCCTAATCCAAACCCCAACAGTATTGTGTCCATCAGGTGGGGCTACATAACCAGATCTTGCCAAGTACTCTTTATCAATGGTGGGGGGCGCTCACCGATCGTTCTTACGGAATTCACTCGTTCCGTTGTGCCTTGTGGGCTCTCTCTCAAGCCCAACCAACAGCCGCATAGTGGCGCATGATATAGGCAGTATGTTATTACCGACAAAGACAAGGGAGACTGGAATGGCCATTCCTGGCTTATTAGACGTCGTCAGCCAGTCATACCCAATCGCAAAGTGTCGAACACCCGAGGCTCGAACTCGCGACCCTGTCATTGTATATTCCAGACCAAAACCGAAAGGGCAACAGGCTCGTGGCTCAGTGGTTAGAGGCGTAGGCTTCCAACAAACAGATCGCGAGTTCGAGCCTCGGGTGTGCCACACTTTGGGGTTGGGTATGACTGGCTGACGACGGCTAATAAGACAGAAATGGCCATTCCAGTTTCCCTTGTCTTTGTCGATAGTAGCATTCTATTCTTTATCAGTGAAGTTCGTCCCTATGGAGCAGATGTTGTCGTTTAAGCCGAAGGGGCTGTGAGACGACTTTTCGATTGGGTTTCGTTCAGGAGGACAGGGTGCACACAACGTTCAGTCAAATTTCTAATAGACTTGCATTTCTCCTATTGCCGGGGCAGGAGGGAAGCCTGAAGGGTGATTACGTCACTCAGGAACTCACCCTCAGCATAATCCAATAAATAACCTCCAGCATCTTAAGAACCCTGACTTGGAAGGATGCCAGCTGATAGGAAGCTCAGTCCTCTTAACGAGGGTCTTACCAGACCTCCATGTTCTGCTCGAGTGGAATCCGAGCTCGCGGGGGCGTTACGAGACGCTCCTAATAGGGAACAGGACTGCTTAGTCCTGAAGAAGGAGATACGATTGCTGGGACAAGAGCTTTATTAGCCTGACGTTTCGGATTTCTGCTCGAACCCATCATCAGAGGCAAAAGCAGATACGGGAGGTTCATGCACAATGGGCTGCAGTATTTATAGGATGCAGTCGCCATGCATCCACATGCCTATGAGCATTCACGGCTCCCCCATTCATCGGGGATCGTTGCACTTCGTGTGGTGATTGTTTGATGGTTGGATGTTGGTGTGATGATTGCTCGACCATCTGACGCACCGACCCCAGTGTTGCGAAACGCGTTCACCTGTGCGCGCCCCGCGTGGCTATTACTCCGCCTAGGCGAAGTCTCAGCAGAGTATGGAACGGGAAGTTCATTGCACTTGTTAATGGACTGGGGGCCAGTAAACCATGATTCAAATGGCTCCCGGCTCACGCGGTTATCACCTCTTGCGAAAATTTCGGCCTCGTCGAATTTGAATGTGTTCATAGGTATGCGGTAGCATGACGACTGCATCCTATAAATACTGCAGCTCCTTGTGCATGAATCACCCGTATCTGCTGTTGTCTCTGATGATCGATTCGAGCAGGAATCCGAAACGCCAGTCTAATAAAACTCTTGTCCCAGCGATCATGTCTCCTTCTTCAAGACTTGTCTCTTCGCTTCTGTTGACGCTGCTTAGTCCGTCACTGTGCCAGTCCCCTATCCGCCAATAATGGTCCATCGTCAATAGTGAGGTTCCGTGGGAGCTAGGTGGAAAGATGGAGTAAGGCCCATCGTCACAGAACATGGTTGCTGCGTCCGATAAACGGCCTACCGTCTCGCTCTCATGTGCTCTCGCATCCAGCATGAGCACGTCAGTTGGCCGCCAGGCCTGTGAACACGGACACCTGGTCTGCGCAAAGTCAAGCTGCGGTGACCGTGTCGCGCGCGCATCCGGCCGGGAAGAGGAGGAGGATAACAACAACTGTCCCTCAGAGAGTTATAGCATCACTGAAAGTCACCTACTCTGTCTGCCCTCTGCTTTTTCAAACAGACACATGCCAGTTCGATTCATCCCGCATGACCCACTTCTCTTTTCTTTATGTAACTAGCCGGACTAAGCAGAATGTCGTAAAATATTCCTGGTCCAGTTTTTCGGCGGCAGTTCAGCGACCTGTCTAGTAAACCTGGTCTCCGTTCTGTATAGTTTGAACTACCGTTCCCTCGAGGTGGTCCCTAAGAGTTGTCGAAGGTGAAAAACACAACCCCCATTTATTTTCCCTTGGTTGCATGTACTCAAACGGTAGATCTACACGCATTCACCATAGTAAGTAACTTTATGTGAGACTCCGATAGCCTTTAGACAGACAAACTTATGTGTACCGATCATCTTCACTATGTTGGACCCACAGACAGGCCCTGGTAACCCCCCGGCAACGGAGTGCAGTTTCCGCCAACTAATTTAACAATAAATTCCCAGCCAACTTCGGCCAGCACACTGGCACACGCGTAATTTTTCGTTAATTTCAACTTCCCCAGCCCCTCTCCTACTTTTGGGCGGCGCCGGGCGAAGGACGTTGAGGAGGGTCTGGTCTGGCGACAACAAACGCAATTTGTTACAGCACCAAGGTGGACACTGAAGGGGCTCCCTGCTCCCCTGCGCCTCCCCCCGCATCCCTCCAAAAGCTCTGCGTCATTCTCCAACAGAGGGACTCGCGGTTGT